CAGAAAATTGAGGGGGAAAACTTTCATAGACATTCTCTCAGACAGGCTGTGGTTGAGCTGGAATATCGCTGTGGTGTAGGAGATGATGATTTAGAAAAACATGGAAAGACTTGGACTTATGAAAGAAGATGCTATCCACCTCCAGAGAAACAGATGAGAAGCGGAAATAAGCGTAGAATGGTATTACATATGCGTGTATTAGTATATATGTGTATATAGGTGCATGTTTATAGATATCTATGTGTGTGTGTGTGTGTATGTATGTATGCCTATCTCCACGATTAATTGTAGCCTTCTTTAGGGTGATAAGGGAAAGGAGGTGAAAAAAAAAAAGTAAAAAGTGCACGGCAGAGAACGAAAGAAAACCAACAAGGAAGCAAAGAAAATCTGGGCAGCTTTGAAAACAATGTGTCGTATTTATTATATAGGTTTTCTTGAAACAGAAATGTATTGCTTTATATTGAATCCTGTCTTTTGTTATGCTGTGTACATGGCGATATTTTTTCCTTTCTCATTTAGTATTTAAGTGTAAAATTTTTAAAATTTACAAACAAAAAAGAATTTACCACCTAGCTGTCTAATACCGGACCTCTAGGGGATTTGTTGAGCCTTCCCAGGGAAGCATATTGGCTTCTCAAAGTCTTTACATTGGTTGTCGCCTATTCCTGGAATGCTGTCTCTCTCCTCCTCAGTCCTTTACAATCCCTAGTATCTTGCAAAACTCAGCTCAAATACCACCTTCTACAGGAGAGCTTTCCTGACATTCCCCTCCATCCCTCAACCCCAAGCTGCTAGTGCCTCTGATCCTAAATTACCTTGGTTTTGCCTTTCTTTATATCCTTGGTGCCGACCATGGTGTTCAGCACAAAATACACCCTTGAGAAACGCCCATTGATTTTGCATCTGTTTGGAGTATATAGTCCAGAGGCAACATTGGCATAGTCTATAGAGAGCTGGGTTCAAAGCCAGAAAATCCTGGGTTCAAATCTGACATATATTAGCTGTATGACCCTAGACACATCACTTAACCTCTCAGTAATCTAGGCAACTCTCTGAGACTCTCCATTATGGAGAAGGCACCAATCTGCATTAGTAAAGAGATTTTCCTTTTCTGGAATATCCCTGTACAATGAAATCACACATCAAGTCTCCATCCTTATATTTTTAACAAACTTATATCTGTGTTCATATTGTCTCTCCTATTAGAATGTACAGTCTTTTAGGGCATAGAGCTTTTTCTCTCTTCATATTCCCAGGGCCCAGGACATAGTAGACACGTAATAAATGTTTATGAGTTGATTGAACTTCCTCAGAATCATAATGTCCTGAGGCTTTTCAGCTAAATCAAGTTTCCAGGCAGTGTCTGAGATGGGTTAAGGAAAGGAAACTCCAGAAAAAAAGGGCTGAAGCCTCCACCTCCCTCCCTCAAGTCACAAAGAACTTCTGTGTGCAGCAACAGCTAGGCCCCCCCTCGCTAATGGCAACTGGCCAAAGGAAGGGAGAGCAGTCAAAAGATCTAGCCCGACCTCAGCAGCTTGCCTGTTCTATCTTGGCTGTGAGCAAACAGGGCAGGTGTCTCTGTTCAGCGTGGGGCGCACAAGTAGTAAGTGGAAGAGGGAGGATCTGAACCCAGATACCAAGCCATTGCCCTCTGTGATGAACCACCCTGCCCCCCAGTTCTTTAATGCTCATGACTAAAGTTAGACTCATCACATGTGGATGGAGAATAAGAAACTCTCTCCTCTGTTCAGCGTACTGCCCAGCCTGTTCTACCCGTAGCAGGTAACTGGATTCGGAGTCAGTTCAAAGACCTGGCTTTGAACCCTGCCTCTGACATTTACTATCTATGTGACCACAGACAAGGTACCTATCATCTCTGATCCTCAGATGTTTTTGTTATTGTTGTTGAGTTGTGATTGACTCTTAGTGACCCCATGGACCACAGCACGCCAGGCACTTCTAATATCCACTATTTCTCAAAGTCCATCCATGTTCATCGTTTCCTCCTCTGCTTTCCCCTTCTCCTTTTGCCTTCAATCTTTCCCGACATCAGGGTCTTTTCCAATGAGCCCCGTCTTCCCATTATGTGGCCAAAGTATTTAAGCTTCAGCTTCAGTATTTGACCTTCCAGTGAATAGCCTGACTTATTTCTTTAATTTTGACTGATTTCACTTCCTTGCTGTCCAAGGGACTCTCAAAAGTCTTCTCTAGCACCACAATTCCAAAGTGTCAATTCTGCGGCACTCAGCTTTCCTTATAGTCCAACTCACAGACATACATTGCTACTGAAAAACCATAGCTTTGCCTCAGATTCCTCATCTGCAAAATAGGGGTGATGACAATTGACATTCATATAGTGCTTTAACAAAGAACTGGAAACAGCGGGAGCTCATAGAGTAGGGAATGGCTGAACATATTGTGCACACATGAACCTAACGGAATACTATCACGCCCAAAGAATCAACCAACAGGAGACATTTAGAGAAATAGGGAAAGATTTAGATGAAACTGATACACAGGCAAGCAAATCAAACAATGTGTAGGATGACTACAATAATATAACTGAAAACAACAGTAAAAGGCAGCCCAATTCAGATAAATTGCAAGGCCAGTCTGGGTCCTCTTCAGTGCTTTGGAATGTCACGTGCACCATCAGACATGATGCCTGTGCTGGTTACTTGAATAAGGTTTTCAGACCTTAGATTTAGAGCTAGAATGGACCCACTAGTCTGACCACTTTGTTCTACAGGTGCGTAGCTGATTTTCTTTATTGCAAAGAAATAGGAAGAGGGGAGTATATCAGGAAAAGACTGTGATAGAAAAATAAAAAGCAATAAAGCTATATATATATATAGATATAATAGGCAGCTAGGTGTCACTGCAGTGGACAGAATACCAACCCTGGAGTCAGGAAGACCTGAGTTCAAATGCAGTTTCAGACATTTACTAGCTGTGTGACTGTGTGCAAGTCCCTTAACCCTGCTTGCCTCAGTTTTCTCATCTGTAAAATGAGCTGGAGAAGGAAATGGCAACCCATTCCAGTCTCTCTACCAAGAAAATGCCAAATGGGGTCACAAAGAGTCAGACATGACTGAAAATGACTGAACAAAAACAGATGTGATTGATAAAATCATAGGTTTGGTATCCCTAGGCCATGCATCCCCAGCCCTGGATAACCTGGTGCTAAGCCTCTGGGAACTCCGGGAGGCCAGGCTTCAGAAAGCAGGCAAGCTAACCATGACCAGGCCCTTCCTTCTATGGAATCTTTTCAGCTTGGCAGGATTTACCAGTGCTTCTGTTCCACTGAAATAGCCTTCATGTGGGGCAGCTAGATGGCACAGCGGATGAAGCGCCAGACTTGGAGTCAGGAGGACCTGAGTTCAAATCCGGCCTCAGACACTTGACACTTACTAGCTGTGTGACCTTGGGCAAGTCACTTAACCCCAATTGCCTCACCAAAAAGAAAAAAAAAAAGAAAAAGAAAAATCCCTCATGAAACTACAGGTCCTCTGCAAGCAGAAAAACGTAAATTGAAGACGATGCCAACTGTCCAATTGCTTTCTGGTACTATTTCTTAGGCTCTCTTGCTTCCTAACTTGCGAGCCAGCAGTAGAGAGTAAGAAATGGTATTTGGAAAATGTTTCCTCTGCAGTTACTTGTAACAAGTCTATGGGTGTGACTTTCCATGTATGTATGTGGGAGATATCAGTCCCTTTCTGACCAGGAGCACACACAGAAACCAGACTCTGGAATTCGATGGCTCTTTCACCAGAGGTGAACTATATTGTGGCCACCACCACCACATGCATACCCTCTTGCCATGCCTGCCAGTTTCCCATTCTAGAATCATAATTGAATCAATAGCCATTACTGGTGGAAAGAGCATGTCCAATCGATTACCCTATCTCCTCACCATTCCTATGACTTTCCAAGCCAAAGTATCCCTCCCAGAGCATCATTTCCCTCTATTAGAAAGTGAGCTCCTTAAGGGCAGGGATTGCCTTTGCTATTGTGTGTATATATATGTATGTATGTATATGTATGCATGTATGTATGTATATCCCTGGTGCTAAGCACAGTGCATGGACACGTGCTAAGGGCTTAATAAATGCTTTCTCCTTCATTGAATTGAGTGCTTTATGTAGAAAATACTACTCCTGTATACCTTTAGTATACCAATACAAATTCATTTTAAAATGTTACTGAATTCCTAGTAGCTTTTTCTCTTTAGCTTCCCAGTCAGCAGGTACTAAAACAGCAAGTTTAACAGGTTTAAGACCTGATGAATCTCTAGGAGATATGGGTTGAAAAGAAGTCTTACACTTTTTTGTACTATTTTTAACTTGTACTATTTTGCCCTATTAAGTACAAACTGCTATCATGTGTGACCGGGCGGGGTAGGGGGGAGTTCCACAAAATATTGGCCTTTAAAAAGGAGCCCTCATATTCGAAAAGCTTGAGAAGCACTGAGTTATACAACTTCCTTTTCTTGCCTCTGCCCCTGTAATTCATTTCCTAGACTAGTTAGTCAAATGACAGCTCCTTCAGTATGCTCCTTAGAAGCTGGACCCATCTCTGAATCCTATAGAAAGGAAAAGGGTGATAGGTGATGGATCGTGTTGATTTTAACACCTCTGGTGAAAGAGCCATTGAATTCTGGAGTCTGGTTTCTGGGTGTGTTCCTGCTCAGAAAGGGACCAATATCTTCCATGCACACACAGGGAAAGAGTCCCGTCCATAGACTTGTTACAACTGGTTACAACTTTAACTGTGATTTCGGTGGCTTTACCTCATGACACATCAAAGAGTTTTTCTAAAGACTTTTATTTTGTATTAAGTTCAAAGGAAGAAAGTAAAAACAATTACGTTCAAAGACAAAGGAATTCAGACATCATTCTCTGATCCCATATTTTCAGCAAAGAAATGTAAGTAAAACACCCACTGGACAAAAAAAAGAGCCTAGAAAAAAAACAAGCAGAGCATGAAGTTAGGAATCCTTCTCTAGGTTGGGATTAGTGATGTTAGATCATGAGTACATGGCGCAGGAAGAACTCTTTAGATTTTGGAAAACAGGATCCAGTTTGAGTGTTGTGGTGGTACTCGGTGTCAAGGAAGGTTGCAATTAGCCCCAAGCAGGGTCTCCCATCATTTGAACTGGTTGTCAATCAAGGTCCCTTTCATCTTGGCTTTCTTTGCTTCTAGCTCAGCCTAGAAAGAATGAAGAGGCCACATTGTGAGATACTACTCAGAAGGAGTTCTTTTGCTCCCCCCTTCCTCCAGCCTCCCCAAACCCTGCCCTCGAATTCTAGCTCCCTGGCATGAGCATACCCCACCATAAATATGGCCAACCTCTCACCAGAGTCAGTGACTGACAGGCTCACCTAACTTTTTGATGAGACGTGGACGTGATATCTAGTTTTCTCCAATACCATGAGTAAATTCATGCTCCAAACCCAAAGTAGATGGATATCAGATTGCAGAAATGAATAGTCCAAGAAGCCAGACTATGGTCTGTTTAGACCAGACAGACTACATTCTTAACCTGGGGTCTGGGAAGTTAGGCTTTGGGGTTTTTTTTAGTATTTAAAAAAAAAACAAATGAACATATATTTCCCTATAATTGGTTTCCTTTGGAACCCAATATATTTTATGGGATGCATAGAAAAACCATCTTCTGAGAAGGAGGCCCTAGGCTTCATCAGACTGACTTCCAACAGGGTCCATGGAACAAAAATGGTGAAGAAGGCCTGGTCTAGAGAATCGCTACTTTGAGAAGCAATAAGTAGTCCCCATCACACCTAGAAGGTTTCAAGACCTGAAGAGGGAATGGAGTGGCCCCAACCTACTCAGCAGGGGAAGACATATATATGGCCAGCCAGGGCAGACTCTGCAAAAAGCAGGACCTATGCTCATGGCTATAGAAAGGGTTGGCGGCCCAGGGGTATGAGACCTAGTTATAAACTGGACTAGGGACTTAGACTGTAAGCAGTCTGAGGGCAGTGACTGCTTCTGCTTTTTTTTTTTTTTGGTATTCCTAACACTTTGCATAGTATCTGACACGGAGGATATGCTTACTAAATGCTTGCTGGCAGACTGCTGAGCCACTGATTGCCTGCCTGGGTTCCTTCCCCCAAACAGGTTTTTCCCTCCTCTGCTGGGGAAGTTGACCCCTGTCCACGTCCGACGTCACTCACCAGCTCCTGAAGCCGTCTCTTGCTCATGCCTTTCCGCTCCAACTGTTTTTCAATCACTTTGGCATTCTGCGCATATGAGTCAGCAATTTCTCTCTGGCAGAAAACGATTCAACATACAATCGCTAGACTTTCAACAGCGACACACACACAGACCAGAAGGGCCTACAAATGTCACCTGAGCAATGAGATCCTTACGCTGAACTGCAGGAATCTGGCCGCTCCCCAGGAAAGATGAAAAAAAAAAAAACCAAACCAAACCCAAGCCTTGCCAGCTCATCTTTCCAATAATCCTAAGAGTTCAGGTTTCAACTTCACCCAATGGTAAAATAACATCCAACACATTTCCAGTGAGCAGCTCATGTTAAAATCCCATAAAGACAACTGTTGCTACTAATAGTATCAGACAGTTGGGATAGAAACAAGTTTTCTAAAATGGAAACAGTTGACCTTGAGAAAGAAGGACATGGGCTAACTCTACTTTTATCAAGGCAGAATTCTGAAGTATTGTCTCTTTTCTTCCTACTCCCTTCCCCTCCCATGGATTCACTTGTTTGCCCTACATAAATGATTCCCCAATCTCTCCCCCTAACTGCAGCTCCATATTGGCAGTTACGAGCTGCTCCTGCTCAGGAAATTTTCTATTGCTTACCAGGGGTGGGGTGAACCTGCGGCCTCAAGGCCACCTGTGGCCCTCTAAGTCTTCGGGTATGGCCTTTTGACTGAGTCCAAGTTGTACAGAACAAATCCTTTTATGAAGGGGATTTGTTCTGTGAAGTTTGCATTCGGTCAAAGGGCTGCATTTGAAGACCTAGAGGACCACATGTGGCCTCAAAGCTGCAGGTTCCCCACCCTGAGTCTATACCCATTGCTTCTTAAACTGTGGGCCCATATAGAGTCGAGACCCACAGGTTAAGAAACATTGAAGGGGTTGCAAGTAGAAAAAGTTTAAGAAGCCCTGGCCTACAGGATAAAATACAAACTTCTCTGCTTGGCACTGAAGGCCCTTCACATTCTGATTCCAGCTTACCTTGCTAGTCTGATATGACCTGACTTCCCTTCACCTACTCTCCAAACCAGTGAAAACAGACTCCTGGCTGTTTCCTGCTCATATCCTATGGGTGGGTGCCTGCCTTCGTTAGCTTCAGGCAGGCTTCTTCCTGCCCACCATTAAGAACCTTTTCTTCCTTGGAGGCTCAGCGCAGGCCCTTTCCCCGGTGAGGGTTCTTCCCTTTTCCTAGGGCACTGGTCTGGCCTTTTCTTTTGAGTCAGTCACACTCAATCTGGATGACACTTATTTATTCTATGTTCCACCCCACCCTCAGCACAGGATAAGTAAATTTTTACAGGGCTGGAAGCAGCCAAAGTTTCATCCCTTGTACTCCCAACACCTCGCCCAGTGTCTCTTACTTAGTAGGAACTCAATGAATGTTTAGGGAATTGTTTAGTAAGGAAAACTCAGCTCCAGAGAGGGTGAAAAGTGACAGCTGGTAAGCTGTGGAGCCAGGACAAGATGAGCACTGTCCTAATTCCTGGTCCATCACATTTTCCACTAAAGCTTGGTGTCCAGGAAAAGCCCAAACAGGGGGCCAGGAAAAGGAGCACTTACAGCCTCAATCTCCTCCTCTTCTTCATCGATGGTGGAGACGGTGACAGAGCTGAATTTGCCCATGTCCTTCGTACGCTTAGTCATCATTACCTGGAAAAGCAAAGGAAGAAAATACAGTCTAATACCTGGTTCAATCTGGCTCACTCGGATGCCCATGAGTCTTTGTGACAGAAAGTCATACTTGACCAGTGGTTTGAAAGGCCACAAGTTTTGACTTTTCACCATTTTTTCATCAGGAATTTAAAAAACTGATGAAAACACCAGGGGGAATCATTTGGTTTTTAAATGCTCAAACTGAAGATATTTTGGAAGGAATATACAATAGTAATAGTTTATATTCATATAAGGCTTTAGAGTTACAAAGCACTTAATATATTTCTTCTCATTTCCTATAACACAGGCAGGGCAGGAATTATCCCCATTTTGCAGATGGGGAAACTTGAGGTACAGAGCAATGAAGGGCCCTCCCCAAGATCTTTATAGAATATGGCTTTTAACCCTAAACAACTTATACTCACACTTGCTCAAACCTCCTTCACAGGAAACGAGATCTGTTAGGTAGAATTCTGGTGAAAATCTGTTTATTGAAATTTTGAGGCTTTTTTTTTTAAACTAGACTGATTTCATTGGTATAGAGAACTCTCAGTAGGGAAACCCCCTTTACCAATACAGATCTTCGAGTTATGGTCTTAGAAAGCTGTCAGTGGGAACAGGAAGTTAAGTGACTTGGCCTGGACATGGCTCTTATAATAACTTTAAAAGTCAATATTATTAAAATAGAAAATCGGCAGGGCTTCAGGGACACAAGAATTTGAATATGCTGCTGGGGTAACTGTAGGCTGCTGCAAATGTTTTGGAGAGTAATAGGACAACATCAAACTGGAAAAGAAAAACCCTTTCAACCCTGCGATTTCTTGGCTAGAATTTTACCCCAAGAACCTGCTAAAAAGGGGGTAGGGGGAAGACCTGTCTGGACAAAAAGATTCGCAGCCACTTGATTTGTAACAACAAAAAGTAAACCACCTGTCTACTGATGTCTGGCAGATGGCTGAATAAATTACAGCACATTCATGGTAAGGAGGCAGCCTCCGGTGATTGAGAAGGGCAAGAGAGGGCCAGGCTCGGAGTCAAGAAGATCCAGGATCAAGTCTTGCTACTGACCAAGTGACCCTGGGCAAGTCATCTAACCTCTGCTATCCCAGGCGTTCACTGTAAGGAGCCTCAATCCTATAATTGCCAATATACATCGGCAAAGGTAGCTTCCACACAAAGAATTCTAGATACCAACAAAATTACAGACCCACTCCCCTCTTCAGTTAAATGGAGGCAATGGTGCTGTCAACAACGATAAGGATGATGATGACAGTGATGATGATGATGATGATGATGATGATGATGATGATGATGACAACAATAAATACAGAGCATATAAGGAAATAGAAAAAGACTTAGAAGAGGTAATAAAAAATAAAATCACGTCTAGAATTGTGCACACACTTGACTCCAGACTGTCTCTTTCTCTCTGCCTCTTTTTTCTTTCCATACGTGTGTGTGTACATAACTAAGTTTTGTGTGTACATATACATACATATTTAGTTTAGCTGTGTGACATATATGTGTGGATATAGATATATGTTCGTCTCTCTCTCTCTCTCTATATATATATATATATACACACACACACACATATACATACACACACACACATTTATATATATACATACATATTTAAAGGCAAGAAAAAGAACAAAGCCATAAGTAGCAGAATTTAGGCGAGACATGGAAAGGAACATAGTATCCTCTACATTGTTAAATGCTAAGGGTTTTAGCTAAAATTTTCCTCCTTATTTTAAATGTTTCTTTGATTACTGTTGATACTGTTTATAATGACCAGTGTTTTGAAGTTATAAAGTAGACATCACGAAAAAACAAATGTCCAGAAAGACCATTGGGAAGCCAAGCAGAGATGGATAAAACTGAGCTGTGTTTCACTTCTCCTCGCTTTGGCAGATAACTGCAGGTCTCAGCTCTTGGTGCTGTCTACAATGTAGCTTTCCTCATACACAGAAGTTACCTTCTTAGGAGGCTCTTGTTTCTGACTGTATATGTTGGTTTTCCCAAAGCCCTGCCCAAACTTGACAACAGCTCCATCCACGATAAAGGTCACTGGAGCATTTTTCTGCTGGTGCTGGTAAAAGAGCAGCAAGCCACACCTGCAAATAGCAAAGATTCAGATCCCGACACCATGGAGTCTCAAAGTGGGCCAATAAAAGGGAAGGCAGCCATGGTGGAATCAAAGGATGGTGAGGGTTTCGAGTCAGAGGCCCCAGGTTGGAAATCAGTCATGACTTTGTTTGTTAGGACCTTAGGAGGCTAGATCTCGACCTGGGAGAGCCCTTAGAAGCCACTGAGTCCAACCCTATGATTTGACAGAGAATGAATCTGAGGCCCAGGCAGGGCAAGGGCCTCACCCAGGCTCAGAGGGCTAGTAAGTATCTCAGGCAAGATTTCAATCCAGGTCTTGCGGGACTCCAGTAGGCATTATAAATAGGTCCCACCAAAAAGACAATGCCCTTTTACAGATCCAGTGCTGCTCCCAGGTACTCAAACATATGACTGTGAAAGGACTGGTGTTTTGAATAAGGAGAATTTGGAGGCAGTAAAGTTGTTAAGTAGAAGAATATGACAAGGAACAAAAATAGACAAACAATTTGAGCCCTAATGGAGTAGGGGGTGGCAATACTCACTTTCCACACTTCTTCCGGAATTGCCGCTCTATGCCTTCAAGCCTGCAAAGACAAAGGAAGAGGTCACAGAGAAGAAAGAGACCAAGCGGTGCCACCCTGCTCACCCCTGGCCGTTGGCAGCCATATCACCTGCTGTCCTCCGATGGTGGGGGGCGGGGGCATGGGGGGGGCCTCTCAATGCCAGTTCACTTTACAGACCAAGTGACTCCAGGTCATTAAACCTCCCCTAGCCCACCTGCAGAGAGCTACAATCGACTTTTGCTGCTGCCTCCCATGGGCCAGTGATTTGCTTTCCCTTGTGAATGCCAGTTCGTACCTTGCTCTCCTGACACAAACAGTTTCTCTTTAGCAACTGGACAGAGCCCCTCTGAGAGCAGCTGCTAGACCCCAGCTGTCTCGCTCTCATTCTCTCTCTCAGCTCTCGCTCTCGCTCTCTCTCTCTCTCTCTGTCTCACACACACACACACACACACACACACACACACACACACACACATCCATTGCACTAGTGGTCTGTTCCAACTCTTTTCATTAATGCAGGAAGGAATCCATTGATGAAGACAACAAAGAAATCCAAATTATATGAAACATAATTCTCCCAAATAGGATCTGAGTATCACAGAAGCAGAGCTGGGAGGACCCGCAGAGTCAGATGAGGCAACTGAGGCCAGGGGACGGGGAGGGACTTACCCAAGGGCACATAGGCAATAAGCATTGGACAGGGATTTGAACCCAGACGTCCTCTGCCTCCGGAACCAGTGCTCTTCCCACTGCACCACACTGCCTTCTCTTAATCTCAGACCCAGTCCTCTGCTTTCTGCAGTGGCTACTTTTTCAATTCCTTTGGATTAAACTGACAAAGCCAACTGCCCCCAAAAGCTAACAAATGGGCAGACGATTGTTAGCAACAAACATTGCAACATGCCTGGGGAATAACAAATCAAAAGAGATATATCTACTTGGGTTCATCCAAGTTTGAAAGAATTTGAGCCTGACCACAAAGCAAGGAGAAAGCTGTAGACCAGTCCAGTAGTCATCCACACGTGTTGGGGCACTCTCTGTCCTAGTCCTCCCCACCACAGGAGTTCCCCCATTGAGAGAGTCAGCGTCTTACCTCCGGAGATGGACACTCTCCTCTTCCTCTGTGTTACAGAACTTGTGAGCATGTTTGGCTGCATCAATCACCCGGGCTCGGTCCCGGGGCCTCATGGGTAATTTCTCTAACTGGCAATCTGAAGAAAGAAAGGGAGACGGGTCACTGAGGGTCATGGCTCAAGGGAAAGTCTTGAGGATGGGCCTTGTAACACTGTTTTCCACCCCCACCACTTATAAGATCTAAGATGTTGAATTTTCACTGGCATTTGACACTGTATTTTTTTTAAGGACACCACCAAAACTTCTAGATAAAATGTTTACATGGGCAGGGGGAAGTGTTCTTGGCCTGCAACTTCAATGACAGGAACTGGCTGATAGGATTCTTTTATCTACCAATGCTTAACACAGTGTTCTGTGCGGCCGACAAATGCTATGCCAGAACTGAGGCCTCAAACCATGTAGGCTGCACAGAATTCTAAGAGGAAAGTCGGGTCAAGCGGATGAGATCCTCTCAAGAATGTAACTGTAACAACATAAGCACCAGCACAAACAATTCCACTGAGGAATAAAAGGAAGCTATCCAAAGAGAGCAAAGTGGGGAAGCCAACAACTCACCAACCAACTTATACTTTTAAAAAAGGCTCATTAAACAGGCAAAGTGGCAAAAGATTGGAGAATTTGATGCTGGAGGGGCTGTGGGAAGCCAGCTTTATGCTAATTCGCTCCTGGGGGAGCCACGGCTTGGACCAACTGTTCTGGAAAACAATTTGGAATCACACAAGAAGATTTACCAAACTGTTCGTCCCCTTTGACCCAGAGATCTCCACATTAAGCCTTATATGCCAAGGAGGTTAATAATAGGATGAAAAGACCTATATGCATGAAAACAGTTAGGAAAAATATGCACCAAAATATTGGCCGTAATAAAAAAAAATAGCTGCAAACAAAATCTGTACGCAAAGATTGGGAAATGGATATAACAAAACAGTGACATAGAAATGTAATACGATATTACTGCACCACAAGGAAGCGGTCAGAGAAACTTGGGGGAATTCCTATGAAGGGATACAGAACAAAGAAAGCAGAGCCAAAAGAACATTATACACAGTGCCTATTTGACATAAAGAAACACAACAAAACTTGGACCAGGTACAATGGACAACATTAAAGTACACAGCCTTCCAATGGGTTAACAACTGCGGCAAACTACAAAAATGGGATTTATCACTCTCATAGGGTGACTGCAGATGATAATAAATCCCACTTTTGTGGGATTCTACTTAACTGTTTCAGAGAAATGTACTCTGTTGTGAGCAAAACAAACGTATCAGTAAAGTATTAAAATAAAAGTAGAGACCTACAGGGGATGAAAGCAAGAGAACGTTAACTGCGGATGAATACAAAAATCAATGGCATCCTGTAAAAATATTGGGGGAGGGTGCTCAGAGTAAGCTGTGGTGGACGATGAATGCTGATAACAACAAAGAGGGCATCTGGAAAGCTCTGCTGAGTGTCTAACTTAAGGAGGTCAAAGACAGTATATGAAAATAGTTACAGCAACCCCTTTTTATTGTAGTAAAGGACTGGAAACAAAGAGGCTGCCCAGCAGTAATGGAATGGCTGAACAAATTGTGGTACATGAATGTAACAGAACAGCGAGAAATTATAAATGTGATGGATTCGGGGAGATCTGAGAAACCCTGTATGAACAGATGTAGACTGAAGTGAGAAAAACTAGGGGCACAGTCTCCAAAATGACAACGATAATAGTAATGTAAAGGAAAACGGCATCAAGAAACTTCAGAACTCTGATCGCCCATGATTACTGATGAGGAAGCAAAGAGGTGCTGGACTGTGGGTACAGAATAAGACATACATTTATCGACATAACACGTGTATTACTTTATTTTGCTTCATTATATTTATTGATTACAAGGGAAAATTTTGAGCATCGATGGAACATTAAAAAATAGCAGAAGAGAGCTCATAAGCAGAGAATCAACAAGGGCAGTTGGGTTCCTAATACGCTATATTTAATACACATTTTTCAAAAACCTGAAACAGAAGCTCACTGTTCCTATATAATCCTTTTGTTCCATTCTTGGTATACAGAAGTGTTTGTGTTTATTGGTGTTTGTTAAGTATAGAATAAAAAAATACAAGCATTTAAAAAAACAAAGACAAACCTAAGAAACTATGTCAGAGGCAAGAAAAGCAAGGAAGGGAGAACACCACAGCTGAAGTAAGAGGAGATAATTTTAACAGAAATAAAAGAGTTACTCAATTTTTATTTTGTTTTGTTTTCCCTACCAGACTTTTCTCTTCGGACTTCTAAGAACAGAATAAGAACTAGTTAACATTGAGTTAAAATTCAAGACAAGTGAATGGATGGCAAGAGATCATCTCCCAAGTTGAAGCTTCCAGGCTCACACAATCTACATCTCAGGGTACTTAAAGAGTTGGCTGGCATGGCTGCTGAGCCAAGGGTGGCAATTTCTGAAAAAGTATGGTAACAAAAAGGACTGGAGAGAAATGTCCTAATGTTATTTTTGTTTAAATGATGGAGTGGATTGGTTGCTAAGTGTGATCTGAATTCTTGGCAAGACTGTAGAGTATATTATTAAAGCAATAACTTGGGAGCATGTAGAAGGTTCTGATCACCAAGGGCTGTCAAGTCATGACAGACTAACCTCATTCCTAATGTGATAGGTAGATCAGGGAAATGTAGTAGATACGGGGTGCCTAAATTTGACCAAAGCATTTAACGAAGTCTCTCGTGTGCCGCTTGTGGACACAGTGGAGAGATGTGGACTGGATGATAATACAATGAGATGGATAGTTGAAGAGGCTCATAGCTCTAGAACTGGCAGGGATCTCACAAGCCATCTAGTCAAACCTCTTCACTTTACAAAGGAGGAAATTGAGGCCTGGAGGGGAAAGGGAAAGGGAATAATCATTTCTATGGTGCCCAGTAGGTACCAGGCCCTGTGCTAAGGGTTTTTTGCAAACATTAACTCATTTGATCTTCACAACAATGCTGGGAAGTAGGTGCTGTTATTATCCCCATTTTATAGACAAGGAAACTGAGGCAAATAGAGGTTAAGTGACTTGCCCAGGATCACACAGCTAGTAAGTGTTAGAGGCAGGATTTGAACTCAATTCTTCCTGATTCCATGCCTAGCTCTCTATCCACTTCACCACCAGCTACAGTTAAGTGGCCTGCCCAAACTCACAGAGGTTGTCAAGTGTCAGAGGTAGGATTTCAACCCTATTCCTTGGGAATTCCAAAGCTACCTTTTTTGTTTGTTTGTTTTTTGGTTAGGCAATTGGGATTAAGTGACTTGCCCAGAGTCACATAGCTAGGAAGTGTTATGTGTCTGAGGTCAGATTTGAACTCAGGTCCTCCTGACTCCAGGACCAGTTCTCTATCCACTTTGCAACCTAGTTGCCCCACTTTGTTTGTTTTTCACAGCTGGAAGCTCAGACCCAAGGAGTCTGAATTGACATGAACTTAGAAGGAAATTCTCAAATGAAATGTCCCAACAGATGCTGTTCAAAGTATCTATCACTGACTTAAATGAACACTCATCCCAGTGGTACATGACACAAAGCTGAGAAGCAGGGACATTGTTTCTAGAATCAGACAGGTGACTGAACCATGCAGACCACAGCTGCCCTTTCAGGCCACATTATGGGGGCCTAGTATTCACTTATGGATACCACATTTTAGGAAGAACAATGATTCTTCTGGAGTGAAAAATCACGGGCTAAGAGCTGGATGAGGCCTTAGAGACTATCAGGTCCAACTCTCCTCATTTCACAGAAAAGGAAACTGAGTCCCAGAGAGAGTGAGGTGACTTGTCCAAAGTCAGACAAGTTATAAATGGTAGTAGGGCCAGGATTTGAACTCAGGTTCTAGGACTCTAAATCCAATATTCTTCCTTTGTAATATGTTGCCACAGGAAGGCAACAAGGATGGAGACTATACCATGCCTAAGTATTTTTGGGCAAATCACTTCACCACTCTGGGCCTCAGTTTCCTTATCTGTAAAATAAGGACTGGACTGGATGCCTCTCCTGCTCTAAAGCCATTATCTTTTGATCTATATGAGGACTGGTTGAAGAAATTGGGTACATTTACCTTGGAACACTGCACTGACCACTGGAAAATGAACAGAATCAGATGAAATGAGGGCTGTATTTGAACTTACAAGACTAGGGGTTGAGGAAGTATCTGAAGGGCTGTCATGTAGAAGAGGGATTTAAATAGCAAGCAAATGACTTGGGTGCCTATTTTGGAAGAGCTTGAAACCCAGTTGGGAAGACATAAATTCACAATGGAAAGAGGTTAAGCAATTTACAAAGTAATATATCAGCAAATAGAAAATGAGGTCGAATGATACAAGGGCAAAAGTACTGCTGGATTTGGAGTTCGAGGGCCTGGGTTCAAGTTCTTACTCCAAGCCCTTCCCTTTTCCAAACTGCTCTCCTTGTATTATCATCCTTTCAGTCTGTCAGGTTTATAACATTCAAATTCTCTTCACACCCCACTCCCACCCTACATATCCAATAAGATGCTAAATCTTTTTGTTTCTACCTCCAAAAACACATGCTGTATCTGACTCCTTCTCTTCTGATTCACACAGCTACCATCTTAGTTCAAGACTTCATCATCTCTTCCCTAGATTCCTCTAGGAGGCAACAGCTGCCTAATTACAGTTATCCCTTCACATCGATGGGGTTGGGGAAGGGGGCAGCACCCCCATGATCTGGAAAAGCCTGTCAAATTTTTGGCCCTCCCTTTGTACCAGAGATGAAGTCTGATTTTTTTTCTTTTTCTTTTATGAGGTGTTTACAGTACCTTCTTGTAAAATTTGGGTTAGGTATTTGGTCATAGGCTATATTATATAATACCATACATACATTTTATGCATTTCTGAGTTTCTAAACTTTTTCTGTGTCATCTGCGGCTTCCACAAAACTCCCCCAAAATTCCCATTTAATTTCTTATGCTGACCTACAATATATCAAAATCGTGATGGGGAAAGTCTTGATGTGGAAGGGATAACTGTAGTCTCTCACCACTTCAGTTGATCTACCACACTGCTGCCAAAATGATTTTCCTTAAGCCCAGGTCTGACCATGTAGCCCCCGTACTCAGTCACCTCCTGTGGCTTCCTATTGCTTCTAGGATAAAATGCAAGCCCCTGTTTAACTTTGAAAGCCCCTCAAAACCTGAGCCCAACTTATCTTTCCAGCCTCTGGACATTATTTCCCCTCTGGCACTCTGTGATCCAGCCAAACTGACCTTCTTTCTGTTCCTCAAACAACATTCTCTGTGCCTTTGCAATGGAGAACCCCCATTTTTGGAATGTACTCCCCCTCCCCACTTCTGCCTCTTCCTTTTGCACCATCAAGCACTAAAGGCAGGAAGCCTTTTCAGATCTCCCAGCTGTTAGTGCCCACCCTCCTAAACTACCCTGTATTTAACCACTTTGTATGTATTTGTAAGTATTTTATATATCTTTCACATTAGGATGTAAGCTCTTCGAGGGCAGAGAATGTTTCATTCTTTGTACTTGTGTCCCCAGCACTGTCCTTGATGTATGCAGTGGATGCTTAATGTTTACTGAGTGGAATTACTGAATTAATAAATGCTTGCTATTGATTGACATGTTGTAAAAGTAGAAATAACAAGATTTGGATTGGACATGTGGGGTAAGAGTGAAGGGTGGAGGATGACATCCAGGTTGCAAACCTGGGAACCTGGTAGGACCCTTGACAGGAAGAGGGAGGGAATAAAATTCGAGGTTTGGGCCGGATACTCTTTGAGATGCCTTCTAGCCCTACATGTGCTGTCTCTTCCTACCAGAAAGTCAGCTCTCCTCCAGAACAGGAAGCCTCTTGTTTGTTATATTTGTTTTCCAGCATTTAGCACAGGGCTTGGCACACAGTAAACGCTTGACAAATGCTCATTCATTCACGCATGCATTCATTCTAGATCTGTACCCCTACGTTTCCAGGGGACCACGAAACAGAGGGGAGAGTTGAAGGGGCCAGGATGACACAGAGCACAGGAGGAGGAGACTACTGTGAAGAGGCAGACCTCCTGGGCTGACCGAGGGCAGGTGGCTCGCAGGGCAGAGCTGGCTCTCTCGATCGCGAGCTGTCGGAGCCCCCCCTGCGCCCCCTCCCCCGCCCCCCCCAAATGCTTTCCCCTCCCCACCCCAGCCCGTGCAGCTCACCCAGCACTAGCACCATCTGGCCGCACAGACAGTAGTAGACGTGAAGAGGCTTCTCGCCGTCGTCGTACTCCTCTCGGTCCCGGGTGTCCGAGCACACTACTGAGCGCGAGACCACCTTTGGCATCACAGTAATAATAGCTCTTCCCAACTCTAAGCTTCTACCGCCGGCCCCAGTGCCGGAAGGCCCGGGAGGGAGGTGAAATATGGGAGGAAATGACGTCATGCGCCGAAGCCCGCGGTTTAGCCCGTTACTCCCAATCTTCCCCATTTTTCCCTGGGGTCTAGGCCACTAGATTTCCCCTGCTGCCCACCGCCCCCGAGTCTCCAGGCTCCTGGTGTGTAACGTTGTCCGGAGCGACGAAAGGCCCGGGAGGGGGGGGGGCGGGGGGGGCCGTTATTACACAGCCTAAGGAATCAGACCTGAGAGGGCACTTGGCCAGGCCTAATACTACCAGCCGGTGGATTCCGGTTAAAAAAGCCCCCCTTCCCCGCCTCCCCCCCGCCCCGGTCCCCTAGGTTCGGTATAGATCCGTCCGACCTCTCATCCAGCGGCTGGCTCTGGGCATTTCGAATCCTTGTAACGCAGACCCTAAGACGAATAAGCGACGAGAACGCCTCATGGAATTCTCCAAGCTGCCTTGGAAGGCTCTCTGCTCTAGAGCCGGAAGGCATCTCAGTTCGAATCTCTTCTTTAACAGAAGCGGAAACTGAGGTCCAGGATGGGGAAATGAGTTGCCCAAGGCAATCAGTCCAACTTCTACCTTAACGGGAATCCCCTCCACAGTATATCCGAAGGGTGGCCATTCAGCCTTTGTGTGAAGACATCCAATGAGAAGAAACCTACTGCCCCTAACTCAGCCCATTCATTCCCTTTTGGGACAGTTCTTGTGGGGAAGTGGAGGTGTTGTTCCAGACATTATACCTATTTACCTCTCTTCAACTTCTACCTCCTAGGTGTATCACCTGGGGCCAAGCAGAACAACTTTCACCCCGTTTCTGCCTAAGTAAGATAAGTACTTCAGATACTTAGAAACAAGTCTTGGTTTCTCTAAGCTAAACATGCCCAGTTCTTTTACACGGATTCTCATATGGCATGAACTCCATGTCTTTCATCATCCTGGCCACCCTCCTCTGGACACTTTTAGGTTTATCAATGTCCTTTCTAAAATGTGGCACCCAGCGCAATGATGTTTCGGCAGCTAGGTGGCGCAGAGGATAGAGCATCGGCCCTGGATTCAGGAGGACCTGAGTTCAAATCCAGCCTTAGACACATAATACTTCCTAGCTGTGTGACTCTGGGCAAGTCACTTAATCCCAATTGCCTCACTAAAAATACAAAAACAAAAAAACCCCCCCAATATTCCAGATGTAGTGTGATCAGGACAAAGTACAGCAGAACTACCCACTCACCAAGCCTGACCACTAAATGCAGCCTGGGACACTATTAACCTCTCTGGCTGCTCTATCACAGGATTAGGGTAGCTGGGTGATGCAGTAGATAGAACTCTGGGCCTGGAATCAGGAAAACCTGAGTTCAAATCTCGCCTCAGATACTTACTAGCTGTGTGTCCCTGGGCAAGTCACTTATCCCTATTTGCCTCAGTTTCTCATCTGTAAAATGATCTAGAGAAGGAAATGGCAAACCGCTCCAATATGTTAGCCAAAAAACCCCAAAAAACCCAAATGGAGTCACAAAGGTCACAGAGTTGGACAATAACAATTTCAGGATTATCATATATCAAGTTTGTACTTCACAACCCCCCCCCCACACACACACACCAAGTACTTCTTCAGACAAACCACTATCTACTCAGGCAATCCCTATTTTGGAGATGTAGAGTTGAATCTAGCCAGATCTTTTGGTATCCTGACCCCGTCAGCCACTGTGTTAGCCATCTTGCCCAGCTTGGTGCCATCAGGATGTTTGATTAAGCATACTACCTATGCCTTCATCCAAGTCACTGACTGAAAAAGAAATTTGAACAGCATAAAATTAAGGATGGAATCCTAGGGTCATTGATAACCATAGAGACATCCAACTAAGTTAATATTGTAGGGCCAAGTTAACGTTGACTGTTTAAATGACTACTTTGTAGGAACAGTTATCAAACTCATTCAAAATCTGCCTACAAACTAACCTACATTCTCTCCATCCAGAAGGATAGGATTCGACAGTTTGTCAAAAGCTTTGCTGAAATCAAGATAAACCATATCCACAATATCCCCTTGACTTTCCAGTCTAGTAACACTATAAAAAAATAACATTAGTCTGGCATGGCCTGTTCTTGATGAAGCTATGCTGATTGTTGAGGTTTTTAAATAACTTTTTTGTTTTTATGTCACAGTTATATTCACATTACAATTCTGCTACCCAGGGCAGCTAGGTGGAGCAGTGGATAGAGTCAGAAGGACCCGAGTTCAAATCCAGCCTCAGACACTTGACACTTACTAGCTGTGTGACCCTGGGCAAGTCACTTAACCCCAATTGCCTCACCAAAACAAAACAAAAACAAAAAACAATTCTGCTACTCAGTGATCCCTTCCTTATTTCAATGAAAACAGGCAAAACCAGTGAACATGTTGACCAGTCTGATAGTGTATGGACAACATTCCACATCTTTATTCCTCCACCTCCTCCACCTCCTCTTCTTCTTCTTCATCATCATCATCATCATCATCATCATCATCATCATCATCATCATCATCCTTCCTTTTTGAAGAGGACCAATGACATCACAGGTGACATGTTGACTCTCATGTGAATTGGATTTCAGTGAGGCAGAGTTGCACAAAGTCTTCAGCCTCACTTTCTCTTCCAGTGTCATTGAAGTACAGTGGCAAGACAAAAGTCAAGATGACTCACAATGGCCAGGGATGCAGTGGATGACCTTGGTGTCTTCAATATCCCAAAAGAAGGAAGATATTTCCTCACCTTTTCTCCAAGGGTCAAGATTGGCCATTGCAATTAGCTTTCTCCTTCAGTGTTGTTTTTTTTTAACTCATTCCTATCATTGCAGTCATCATAAATATTGCTTTCTTGCTCCTGCTTGCTTAATTCTACATTAGTTCACACCAATCTTCTCATTTTTCTCAGCATTCTTCATTCATAATTTGTTATGGCATCATTATCTCAAGTTGTTCAGCCATTCCCCACTGCACTGCTTATGGCTTTTTCTTGCCGAAGAAAAATCAGGAAGGCTCTTTGTGACTATATTTCATCCTCTTCTCCATGTTTGGTAATCATCTCTTTAAGTAAATATTAGAGAATTCTGCCAGAATTTGAAGTCAAGCCTATAGTTATTTTACGAGAATCTGCTTTAATAATCGGAGCAATGTTTACCCTTCTCGAACCCATTGACAGTAGCTCAGCAGCCACATCTGCCAGTTCTTTCAGTATCTAGTATAATGTTCCTCTGGGTCTGGTGACTTGAATTCATAAAGGGCAGCTGAGTGCCCTTTTCTAATCTCCCTATGGCCCTTTGCTTTAAGTTTCCTGGTAGCCTTTTTTTTGTTCCGTCCTTTCCAGTCCAAAGGTCATTCATTCTACCTGACGGAGAAGTCAGAAGAGTTGGGCAGTTCTGTCTCTCTTCCTCCTCTACTGGAGACATCCAACCAACCAGGTTAATATTGTAGGGCCAAGTTAACGTTGACTGTTTAAATGACTACTTTGTAGGAACAGTTATCAAACTCATTCAAAATCTACCTACAAACTAACCCAATTGGGCCAGAATTGAACTACATTTGTATTTAGTCTGAAACTAGAGACCACAACTACCTAAGAGAGAGAAGCTCACCATCAGGCTGGCTACAGGGCAATAAAATGGCAGAAACTCTCAAAAGACCATCTCCTAGGTCAAAGAAGGCTTGCAATCTGCCTGAGTGATCAAAGTCCTCTCATCAGTGAAATCCCATATCTCATATGCGTAAAGCCTTCAGGGTCTTTCTTCTCTGTCATCTCTTATTTTATTTCACACAGTGTCTGACTTATCCATCCATCCCAAACACTTAGGTGGTTCCTCCTCTTTTCCCTAATTTATCTGAAAAGAACCCATTTTGCTGTCCAATAGGGACAATGAGAAATGCCTTGGTAGCTCTTTGTACTGCTCTATCTGAACTTCGCCACTGACATACTGACACTATTTTTTGGCATATCATTTTTATTTATTATTTTTAATTCAGCTTTATTTTATTTTAGGTTCTCTCTCTCTCTCTCTCTCTCTCTCTCTCTCTCTCTGTCTCTCTCTGTCTCTCTCTGTCTCTCTCTCTCTCTCTCTCTCTCTCTCTCTCTCTCTCTCTCTCTCTCTCTCTCTCTCACCTCCCCTTCCCCACCAGCATTGACAGAGCAAGAAAAACAAAACCCATTACAACTATTCAAGCAAAACAAATCCTCACATTGCCCATTAAAAAATAAAATGGGGGGCAACTAGGTGGCAAAGTGGATGGAGCACTAGCCCTGAAGTCAGGAGGACCTGAGTTCAAATTTGACCTCAGACCAAACACTAAACCTGAGAAAGGCCCTTCAGAGAAGCTTAATGTTGGGGACTGAAAGACAATTTGGAATCTGGTCAGGCCTGGGTGTCTGCCAGGGGCCTGTTGGAAGCTACAGAGGAAATGACGGGGATGCTTTTAGAATGGAAAATGATGTCATCCCCTGGTCCCCTCTCTCTAGAGGGGGCACCCAGAAGAGGCTGTTTAGATGGGCACGGAGATGTCAAAGTGGGATGGGGGTGGTAGGGGTTTTGCAGCCAACAGAGCTATAGTTAGGCTGTGCCCCGCCTGCTTGATTGTCTGCTTGAGAGAGTTCTGCCATGGGCCCATTCACTATGGCAACCCTGCTTCTGGGGAGGAGTGTGGGGGCACAGTCTTCCTGAGGCATAGTCCCTTTCTGTAATCCGGCTCTGCTGGCCACACACAGGCAGGCCACACACAGAGGCTTTGGGAACAACTTCAGCCGATGTCTCTGAGTTGTTTTTTTGTCAGGTTGTCCAAGGGAGGAAGGAAAAATGCCACATGAAAGAGAGGCAAGCCCATCAATCAATCAATCAGCATTTATTAAGCACTTACTGTGTACCAGACACTGTGCTAGGTGCTTGGAATACAAAGATAAAAGTGAAACATCAGAAACACATGCAGATCACTCTGTATCATCTCATAGTCATTGGTGGCTAGGGACTAGGCCACTCTGTCTTTTTTGTGCCACCCCCTCCCCCAGTCA